AGGAGTCATCCCCTCCTCCGATGGTTTTGTCGCTGGGCATCTGCCCGTCGGGCTGGATGCCGTGCTCCAGGCAGTACAGCTCCCAGCAGGTGTTGCCCATCTGGACGCCGGCCTGGCCGACGTGAACGGAGATGCACTCGCGCTGGGGAGCAGGGGGAGGCAGGGTCAGACCCAGACAGCCGTGTCCTGCTCACCCCAGGGAGGGGTCTGCCTGCTGCCAGTATCCCATGGCCACCAGCACGGGATCTGCCCTGTCCAGCAGCCCCAGGGAGCACATTTTCCTTTAGGTGACCTCCCACATGCCCCTAAGGGACCCCACATGGCTGTCATTGCCCTCAGCCATGCACAGGCACAATGCTGGATCCGGAGCCAGCCCTGGCATCCCCCCTGTTCAGCCTGTGTTGGGAGCCACCAGCCAAACCCCGCCGTGTGTGGAGGCTGGCGCTGGGGCTGACCCTCTCACCTCTTCCCCCTTTCTCACAGCCGCGGTTCCTCCCCATCTGCTGTCGTAACATCTCAGGCCGGGGGGAGTTGCACCTGCTCTGCCGGCCCCCCACACTGCAGCCCCCCTCGCTGAGCTCTGGGAACAAGCTGTGGCTTCACTCACTGCCCTGCACCTCGACCCACGGGTGGGCATCACTGTGGGTGAGCCCCGGGGCTGCCCTGCCACCGTGGTCCTGCTGCCAGCTCTGGCTCCTGCGCCCCTGCCTGCTGCCCCACAGGGCCGTGCTCCCCGTCCTTCCTGAGCCAGGCCTTGCTGTGGGGAAGGCAGAGTCTGCTGGCTGGTGACCAGCACTGCCTCGTCCCCGGTGCTGCTGGGCTCTCACAGCCTGCTGTCAGTGCAGGGTCCCACAAAGCCAGTCCTGGCTGCTACATGTTGGGGGGATGAAGTGCGGTGACCAGCGTAACCTCTGCACACCGCAAGGTCTTTGGCCAGGGAGGAGCCCTTTCTTGTCTCGTCTTCCTTGTGGTCATCCAGAGGTGCTTGAAGCTGTGTCACATGTTTGCTGTACACTTGTGCTGAGGATCCCAGAGCTTCCTCATGACTTATCGTTTGCTCCTTTGTGTTACAAAATCTTTTTGGACCTGCTGGGAGGGATAAGCAGGGTATCACTTTGCTGCTCCTTGCACCTCAGCTTTGGGGATGGTGGGGAGATGGACTTCTGCCTCTCACCATGGCTATCAAGGGCTTAGTTTTCTGTCATCCCTCACTGTCACTGCTGCCTCTGAAATGCAGCACTGAAAGCACCCTAAGATGCAGAGAGCCAGGGCTTGCTGCAGCCCGTGTAAGTTCCTCGGACAGCAGTCACTGCTGTGCTCCTGAGCGCAAAATGGCTGGCTCCACCGGCTTCCTGCCAGCTGACTCACAGCGGGGCACCCATGGCTCTGGAAATCCGGTTTGGTTTGGATGCTCCTCTGCCTCAATTGTACCTGATGACGCATCCAAGTCCTTGGCAACAGCAGGGCTGAGGCACTGAGTATTTTGGTTCTTCTCAAAACTGCTCCAGGCTCTGGGGTGCCTCACCTGGAGGGAGCAAGGCTGCGGAGCCCCCCTCAGCTTGGCTTTCCCTGGGGGACCTGAGGCTGCCCTTGAAGCCCTGAGCTCGGGGACGCTCCCACCTCAGCCCTTCAGTTCAGTTAAGAAGTGCAACTAACACTTCCTACTCCTCCTCCTCCGGAGCTAATTTAGGGAAGCCGAACCTCAGAGCATGGCAACCATTCTCTGCTGCAAATCACCCCCTTGCCAGGCACCCATCCACGGCGCCATCACCTCCTTTGCTCCCAGTGCCTGGGTGATGCTCTGTCATCTCCATCCTGTTGCTGGAGTAGCAACAGTGGCTGTGCCAGCTGCTGCGGGGCCCCAGTCTTCAAGCCAAGTGGGTGTTTGGGCAATGGACAAGATGCTCACTGGGTATTACCCAGGGCTGTGGGTGGGGACAGTCCAGGGAACATGCTAGCCTGGTGTCCCAGTCTCCAGCAGACCAGTCTCCATCTGCCTGTGCCCCTGAGGTGGGCAGTGCAGCGGTGGGAGGCAGAGCACCAGATGTGGGAGAGGGCAGCAGGCTGGGATGGACACAAGATACCCAGGCTACAGGGCAGTGTGGCTGCCAAGGGCCCAGGCTGCCCTGCCTGGGCTGTGCACCTCACCACCCGCAGCAGTTGCATATGTAGTCCCGGCTGGGATCTGACCCTGCCTCCCCTTGCTCCCCAGCGCGAGTGCATCTCTGTCCACGTCGGCCAGGCCGGCGTCCAGATGGGCAACACCTGCTGGGAGCTGTACTGCCTGGAGCATGGCATCCAGCCCGACGGGCAGATGCCCAGCGACAAAACCATCGGAGGAGGGGACGACTCTTTCACCACCTTCTTCTGCGAGACCGGGGCTGGGAAGCACGTCCCGCGGGCCATCTTTGTGGACCTGGAACCCACCGTGATCGGTGAGTGCACCTCAGTTGTGCATTGATGGTGGTCACCATCTCTGGGAACAACCCACTGCAGGACAGTGTCCAGGGTGACTCCTGCCACCTTTTCCTAGGGCCAGTAAGAAAATCTCTGACATTGTGTCCACCTCTCCCAGATGAGGTTCGGGGAGGAGTCTACCGCCAGCTATTCCACCCTGAACAGATGATCACCGGCAAGGAGGATGCTGCCAACAACTATGCCCGCGGGCACTACACCATTGGCAAAGAGATCATTGACCAAGTGCTGGACAGGATCCGGAAGCTGGTAGGTGACCACAGAGGGAGGACGTGTACCCCTGGGCTGGGCTCCAGCATCCTGCTGGAGATGGGAGTGTGGGGTGATCCCCTCTATGCCCTGGAAGGGATCTGTGGCCGCTTAAGCAAAAGTTTGAAACTTCCTCCCAGCAAAGTCAGTGCTTGGAGGAATCTTACTTGTTTCTCTCTGCAGGCTGACCAGTGCACGGGCCTCCAGGGATTCCTCGTGTTTCGTAGTTTTGGAGGTGGCACCGGCTCCGGATTCACCTCCCTGTTGATGGAGCGACTCTCCGTTGACTACGGCAAGAAGTCCAAGCTGGAGTTCTCCATCTACCCTGCACCACAAGTCTCCACAGCTGTGGTGGAGCCCTACAACTCCATCCTCACAACACACAGCACCCTGGAGCACTCGGACTGTGCCTTTATGGTGGACAACGAGGCCATCTATGACATCTGCCGCAGGAACCTGGACATAGAGCGCCCAACCTACACTAACTTGAACAGACTCATCAGCCAGGTCGTCTCATCCATCACAGCATCACTACGGTTCGATGGGGCCCTGAATGTTGACCTGACCGAGTTCCAGACCAACCTCGTTCCCTACCCTCGCATCCATTTCCCCCTGGCCACCTATGCTCCCGTGGTTTCGGCCGAGAGAGCTTATCACGAGCAGCTATCAGTGGCCGAGATCACCAACTCCTGCTTTGAGCCAGCCAACCAGATGGTGAAGTGTGATCCTCGCCATGGCAAGTACATGGCCTGTTGCCTGCTGTACCGTGGGGATGTGGTGCCCAAGGATGTCAACGCCGCCATTGCCACCATCAAGACCAAGCGCAGCATCCAGTTTGTGGACTGGTGCCCCACGGGCTTCAAGGTGGGCATCAACTACCAGCCGCCCACGGTGGTGCCAGGGGGGGACCTGGCCAAGGTGCAGCGCGCCGTCTGCATGCTCAGCAACACCACAGCCATCGCCGAGGCCTGGGCTCGCCTGGACCACAAGTTCGACCTGATGTACGCCAAGCGAGCCTTTGTGCACTGGTACGTGGGTGAGGGCATGGAGGAAGGGGAGTTTTCCGAGGCGCGGGAAGACATGGCCGCTCTGGAGAAGGATTACGAGGAGGTGGGCCTGGACTCCTATGAGGATGAAGAGGAAGGCGAGGAGTAGAGAAGCTCCTACCAAAAAGGACCGCGCTACTTCCCCATGTTACCTGCAGAAACCCTTTGCAATAAACCATT